AATTAAAGGATAAGATTTGTACGAAATGGTACAGGTTCGTACTAGGTTATTATACACCTGTACCAATAGAATTCTTTATCACAATTAGAAATGTACTATATTGAGGTTTTTCTCCTCCAATATAAAGGGGACCCCAATCATTTGTAAAAGACATATTATTCACTGCAATAGAATATTCTATCCTGCTTTTCTTGTTTACCGTATTCAGCAAGTGTTCTTCAGCTTTATTGCTTTTATTTTATTGTTCATATTTCATTGCTCTTAGCTCACCTCGAGGCCCCCAAGAAAATCGAGCTCTTATTGCTCTAGCAACACTGATTTGGTATATCAATTCTTCTTACTTAAACCTAATATTGCTTGTATATTCACTAGTATTAGAATAAATCACATACCTTTAAAACCACAAATCATATTTAATTGTTACTCCCATTTTTCGTGGTAAACAATAAAAATGTATACCATTTTACCATTCCTTCGGTTTAAGATCGAGAAAATAGAGAAGATATGATTTACTGAAATAAGATCATTAAAGAGCCATTTGGCCTTGGATTTTATTCATTTTTTTCCGTAATAATTTTTTACTTTATTTTAAAAATAGTGTTTGGTTGTAAAAGTTCAAAATTCAACTTGTAGTTGGATTCCAAATTTGGAAAATTGCTCCAAACTTGTTTTCTAATTCCATCTTCGTAAATTCCAAATAAAGTGTTCTCTCTTGCTTTATAAAAAGTATAATCAAACATAAGTTTATCTTAAATTCCAACTTTATAAATTTCAAATAAAGTCAAAAATATTTGGAATCTAGGACTAAACGCCTACTAAGTCAGTATGGCACTAGAAAATATTCTATTTTTCAATACTATTCTTTGAAGCTCAAGAGTAGTGTGAGGTTTAAAAACTAGAAATATATTCTTCAAACTGTAAAAATTTCAAAAATAGGTCATAAGTTGCATTTTTATGCTCTCATTTTGTTAATTTAAGAGACAAATTCCTTCAGTTCTTTTTTCCTTTCATATATAATTTAATAAAAAACTAAAAAGAAAAGGAAAAAGAGTTTACCTCTGCAGAATGTTCAGAAATATTAGAGAGTATTTTTTGGTAGCCCTCCTTATTTTTCCGAACCCGTTTGCCTTTTAATTTCTTCCTGTGGTGCAATTCCCTCCACATTAAAATTGAAAGAATAGAGGGAAAAAGATTAGAGAAAATAAAATAAAGCATCTTAATTAATTATTAAAGCAAAAAAAATATTCAAAAAAACACAGAAGAGCTAATCTATAAATCCTTCTTTACTCCAAGTAGAAATATGGGCTTTTCAATGAAATTACATCATTTACTCATTTGGCTTAGTATGAAAAAGTTATATATATAAATAAATAACTGATTATCTCTGTTCTAATTTAATTATCAAAAGCCTTTTGTAAAAAGCTAAATGTAACATAAATTAATTTAATATTACAAATAAAATATAGATCTGTTGTACGTTGTAATTTATCAAATGAAATAGAAGAAAAAGAAATAATGTAATGATGGCTTCTTGTACTCCTGATATAATTATCCTCTTATATTGCACGGGATTATGGAAATAAGATTAAATGATTACACAATGAACTTTGTGACATATTTGTATATTTTGTGACATCTATGTGTAAGAACTTAACTTGTCTTGGTCCTAAAGACTTCACTTTTATGATTATTTTTGCATGGAGCAGTGGCAAAGCCAAAAATTTTATTATAGGATATTAAAATAAAAAAAAATTAATGCATGAAAAAACAAAGAGAATTTATATATATATNACATTCTAGAACAATAATAGTCATTTTAATGATCACATATGTAATTATGACATTATGGGGGTTGTGAGAGAGAATTCTGGTGAGCAATTTAATAAAGCAAAAGAAAAACTTAAGCACTATAATTAACGACTTAAACTTGGGAGTTTGGGTTTCAAATGTCGGAAAAGAAAAAAGAAAAAAAGAAAGAAAGATGTTTTAACTTTTAAGGGCCAAAGTCAAAATTATATTGATAGTAATACGACCCTGGGCGGAAAGGATATATTTAACAAAATTTTAATCATGCTTAGCCTCCCCCCCTCCCCCGCGCCGCTTAATCATGGAAAAAGCAAAAGCAATGAAATAAACAAAAGAATATGACCAGTTACCTATGTTTGCTCTTTATAAATTATATCTATCTATCTATTTATACTATATTAAAGCACGAAGGTCCTTAGCGAAATATCGTTCGCCTTTTTTACCCTTTAAAATTGAAGTTCACACTAGACAAAATAGTCATTTAATTATTCTCCTAATATTTAGTTCTTGAAATTGACTAAAATTTTTGTTATTAAATTATTTTCCATTGAACACTAGGTAGGAAACCCTAAAATTTAAGACTTTAAAGTCAATTAAAACTTTACTTAACTTAAATATTTTCCTTATTTGAATTATATATGTCACATAATTATAATTCTTACAGGTTGCTTTCATAGATATATATTCTGTGAAAAATGTAAATAACGTGTGTTTTAAATAAAATTAAAGTAAATAACTGATCCATCAATTTTATGCCTAATATTTAAAAAGGAACGTAAGAAATAGTGCATTTAAGTCATACTTTTGATTTTAAAAAAATTAAAACATTAATGATAATTCATATTAAGGTGGCATGAATTTAGACTTTAAAAAGCAATTGTGACATTCTATTTTCTTTTAACAATAAGGGCGTAGAATTTGAAATATACTTACAAGTTTTGTCCATTTTTATTGTCTAAATATTAAGAAATAATAAAATGATATTCTTTTTTAAATGTGACATTATTTTAAATGGTAGAATAAGTTAATCAATATATATTTTGTACACAAAAATAGGAATATAAAAAGAACATAGATATGTAATTGGTCGCGAGTAAAAGTACTTTAGAAAGAAATTTTAGGTAAAATAAGATAATAATTGAGCAAAAAATAAATAATATAAAAATTATTAATAATAATCGAGTTCGGATGCCTATATGATTATTAAGTTATTAATAGAATAAGGTTACAGCTTTAGCAGTACCGTAAAGTGAGTAAAGATAAACAAAAATTAATTGTTGGTAAACTATCTTACATAAATTTTTTAATAAGTAACATGAAATATACATGCAATGTACGTACCCAAGTCCTCAAGTAAAGTTGAATGATTTTTTTACCTTTCAATCAAACGCTACTCCTATAACTTTTTTTGTACAATAAAGCAAGCAAGCAAGGGAAACTACTGAAGGAAGAACTATTAGACTAGATCAAACTCCTTAGGAAGAACTACTCTTAATTTTATATAATAACATAAACATATTTTTGAATATTATTTATTTTATTTATAAAATTTTATTTTTCATTAACACGAGGGACACGCGCAACGCGCGTATGCTAAAACTAGTAAATAAATAAAAATAGAAAGAAGCATATACTAATACCACCTCCACACAACTAACAGCAAAAGTAAAATTGTGCTTTCTGATTATTTTTTCTTCCTTGTAGCATTCACGATCAATTCCAAGTTCTATAACTTTCAATTAGAACTTAAATACTAGCTCTTAAAAAACATTCATTTCAAATTGAAATTTGCGTGTAATATGGGGTTTTCTTAGGGAAGTGCACAAACAGTCGTTCTTAGGACTGCTATTTAGAGAATTTTCAGTGCTTATTTTTTTTCTGAATATTTAAACTAAAAATTTTAGTTTCAGGACAATTCAGGATATTGATATCCCAAAAAATTAAGTTGAGAAATTGAAATTCAGGATATATTGGTTAATTCCTAAATAGCAGCCCTTTAGAGTACCTATTTCTTTCACATAAATTATAATTTAACAAAAAGCTCTATATTTCAAATTGATTTTCTTTTTTTCTAGAAACCTTAGTTCAATGGAAGAAGTGAAAACATAGGGAGAAGTGCACGGTTAGCCACTAATAACACATGTATTTACTTTTAAGCCACTGTTTAAAATATCTTTAGTCTTTAGCCACTGCTTTATTAAACTTTAACTGCCCGGACGAAAATACCCTTCTGCTCATATCCTTAACTTTTGAACTTAACTTCAGGACTTTAGGACTACATGTCCTTAACTTTTGAACTTGGAACTCTAAGTTCAGGACTTCAGGACTACATGTCCTTAACTTTTGAACTTAACTTCAGGACTACATGTTCTTAACTTTTGAACTTGTAACTGTAAGTTTAGGACCAAGTGTCCTTAACTTTTGAGCTTGTTAGTCTAAGTTCAGGACCTATTGTCCTTAACTTTTGAGCTTGTTAGTCTAAGTTCAGGACTTTAGGACCTATTGTCCTTAACTTTTGAACTTGTAACTGTAAGTTCAGGACCTATTGTCCTTAACTTTTGGATTTCTTAGCCTAAGCTCAGGACCTATTGTCCTTAACTTTTGAGTTTGTTAGTCTAAGTTCAGGACTTCAGGACCTATTGTCCTTAACTTTTGAACTTGTAACTGTAAGTTCAGGACCTATTGTCCTTAACTTTTGAGCTTTTTAGTCTAAGTTCAGGACCAAGTGTCCTTAAATTTTGAACTTGGAACTCGAAGTTTCGGACCAAGTGTCCTTAACTTTTGAACTTGTAATTGTAAGTTCAAGATCCATAACGTACCAGAAAACCAAACGTTATTTGTATCTTTTCACAAAAATAATAATAATAATAATAATAATAATAATAATAATAATAATAATAATAATAATAATAATAATAATAACAATAATAATAATAATAATTGCAATTTACATATAAGATTAATGTCAAATTACACAACAGAAAGCTAATAACAGAAAGAAACAACTAAAAAAACAAAAGACTACAGAACCTTCATTTTCTCTTTCATGAAATATCTTCTAAAAGGTATTCATGGTGTTTTTTCGAGACACAAACACATGAATTAAAAGACACTTTATACAGAAGGAACTAATAAGTTATAATGCATTTAAGGATGTAAACTTAGAATAGATTGGCTGAAGGGTGAGTTTAAGATCAAAGATATAGCCATGTGTTACTGAGAGAAAAAATGCACAGAAGAGATTGAGAGAGAAGCACACATAGCTAGCCACNATTGGCTGAAGGGCGAGTTTAAGATCAGAGACATAGCCATGTGTTACTGAGAGAAAAAATGCACATAAAAGATTGAGAGAGAAGCACACATAGCCAGCCACTTCTGTACAGAGAGAAGCGAGGGTTTGGGAAGAAAAGAAATGGAAGAAAGGGTAAAAATATCTTTTCAAAATAATTTTAATAGAGTAGTGACTATTTTTGCTCAACATTAGAATTAGTGGATAAAAAATAAACACCATCTTATTTAGTGGCTACCACACGCCATTTTTTACGAAAACATACCTTGTGATATCAATGAATTGGCCCCGCCCATCCTCTTCTACTTTGATGATTGGCAATTCAGAGATCCCACATGCAAATGGACTTGTTATAAAGAACTAAGACAATGTTTAGGAAAATTTAGTGCTCAACAATATACACATATTCTACCAGTAAAAACTAAATCTATAAAACGAATCTTTTTTTTTTGTATTTACCACCCATATACTTTCAAAAAACTTATTTAGCTGCCTTCCAATAAGGTTACTAATGCTCTATATTACCAATTCAAACGGTAAATACTTACCCGTACCGAGTATTTACACTCATCCTATAAATAAATGACACATGTTATTTTATTTAACCATGTTAAAGTCAACCTGGACTAGCTGCAAGTATACCAAAAATACAAGAAAGCAATTGGGAAAAGCCAATTTGTTCAAAAATTCTTCCATAGATTACACGAAAAAACAAAGTTGTAGTTTATTAGGATTTATTGATAAGAAAAAAAGAAGAGGAGGAGGCAGACTACATTTCTTTCTTGGTACTTTCATTAATTCAAACATAAAGATAATTCTATATTTATTGAAGTTATATTTTAGCTTTGCTTACTCCTAAGCAAAAAGTAACCTATGCTTACTTGCAAAACTTGTCTCCCTCAGTAATTCTCAATTGAGTTTTTGTCATAATATTATACCTTAATTTTGCAATTGCATCATTGAAAAAGTAAACTTCAGCTTCTTGTTAAATCAGCGATGAAGAGTGAAACCTATGTTAGAAGAAAAACTGAGGGAAATAAAAGATAGAAATGTGATGGCAATCCTAAATTTTATCACAGTGCCTTATTAGATATAATCCATCTTTAAAAAATTTATTATTTAAAAGTAGGACTCCTAATAAACTTTAGTTTGTTGTTTATGGTAAATTTAACTAAATTGGGTGTATACACCCGGTGCGGATAAGTTTTTGCCAGTTCGAACACGCACATTTCATGTCCTATAATCGGATTTATCATTTTCACCCTAAATTCTACTAACTCTCGTTTAAGTCAGTGTAAGATGATCTTATTTTGATTGAGATATCTCAATTCTTAACAAGTCCCAAATTCGAGTTTAGAAAATGAAAAATGTTTTGGTATGAGTGCTTTATTCCTCTTATGGCATATCCGACACGATTCTAAATTAATTGGCTTATACCGGATAGTTAAAGCAGAAAAAGATAAAAAGTAAAACAACTTGACATTTTGTTAGTAGATGTTATAGAATAGTACAATGTTTTTGGCATGAAATAATGAAATATTTTAACTTACTTCATTTTGAAGAGCAGTAGCAGCAGTGCCACGGAAGTGAGGTTTCACAGCCAAAAGTGTGTATAAAAGGGGAAAAGCAGAATGAGGAAAATTGGGAAATACTTCACCAAAACAAGGCTTGTAATTCTGTGGTGGTCTAAATGTTGTTGGTGGCTTCACTTTCTTCCAATACTCCTCTGCTGGTGACCCACACAGCTTAAATATTTTGTGAAGTTGCTCTATCTGAAAGGGGGAAAAAAGTTATAGCATTATTATAGCTTTTACATACCATTAATTTTCAATTTTCTATTAATTTGACTTTGCTCGTGTGAATTTGCTAATATTGTTGGTCCTAACCCCCCAAAAAAGAGAAGGATGCAGTAGGCTAACCGTCAGCCTAAAACTAATCAATTTATTATGAATCACCCGCTATATGAAAGATGGTCAGAAATGATGTGAAGTTGGGTTTTTTCGAATGATCAGTCACACTAAGATTAAGACACCACCCGAACTTCTACAGGCAGCAATGGAGAATCTTGAATAATAGGCGAAAGCCCAATTCAACAATAGCGTATTTTTGGGGGGAAAATCAGTGGAAATAGCCATAGTTTCAAAAGTAACTGAAATTTACCTATTTTTTCATGTAAAGATAAAATCTGGAATACACACCCTTACAAATTCGAAAAATTCCAGTACAATATGCTGGAGTTCGAGTTTTTACATATAAGATTCCAGCATAATATGCTGGAATTTCACAATGTGCTGAGGTTCCAACATATTATGCTGGAAGTTTATATGAGAGCTCCATAATCCAGCATATTATACTGGAACTTTCTGGCCTTGGAGTTCCAATATAATATGCTGGGAGTTTATACACGTGAGCTCCAAAATCCAGCATATTATGCTGGAACTTTTCGTGTTTCAGCAAAATAGTGACTATTTTTTAATGACTTTGCAAAAATTGGCTATTTTTCAATTATCAATACGAAAATTGGCTAGTCCGTACTATTTTTACCGTATTTTCTATTTTTGTTGTTGTTATTGTTGTTGTTATTGCTGTTGTTGTTTTATATTTAGTTTCCTAAAAAATTTAACATTTCAATAATAAAAACAATTAAAAAATGTTGTTTACCTCATTTCTACCGGGCATAATAGGCCTTCCAACAAACATCTCAGCCAAAAGGCAACCAGCACTCCAAAGATCAATCCCAACTCCATAATCAGTTGAACCCAAAAGTAGTTCTGGGGCTCTGTACCAAAGTGTCACAACTCTACTTGTCAGGGGCCTCTTTGTCTCTGTCTGGTAAAAATTTGCAAGCCCAAAATCAGCAATTTTGAGCATCCCATTTTTGTCTATTAGCAGATTTGACCCCTTAATATCCCTATGTAGTATCCCTCTCTCATGGCAATGTTGGAGTCCTAAGAGCAACTGCTCCATGTAACGTTTTACCTGCAAATTGTGTTACAGTACATTTTATTAGGCTCACTATAAAAAAATTTGAATTGGTTACGAACTTTATTATTAATTTATCGCTAAAGATTGTAGCTAACAAAATTTTCTTGATAATCTATCGCTAAATAGGATTAGCGACGTATTTTTTTAGATAGCTATAAAATTTATCCATCGTTAATTTATGTTTTTCTAGTAGTGATTTTATTAATAGAAGACATAGTTATGAAAAAAGTCTACATGGATTATCCATGATTTTATCTGTTTTTTACTCAATTAAATTGTTAATCAATATTCTAAAGTCTAAAATCCTAAAATATGACACTAATCTACTATTCTTCTTGGCCTAAGGATAAGTTTATTTAGAAAAATAACAAATAATAGTGAAGTTTAGTTTCCCAAAAAGGTTGATGATTTAATGAGTATGTTTACTTGTTTAAGTCTGATAACTACTACTCAATTCCAAACTATACTTATTTTCAACTTTCATTGTCTTCTATATCTTCCGTTAGATATGTCTAAATAATAACATATTTTAAATCTTTTGATAAAACTTTTTTTTTCATGTGATTTTAGATATATTGCTCTTCATTAGTAATTTTTTTTTCATTCCAAAACATTACGAGCAAAAACAATAAATAATTAGGAAGTTACTATTACCACTTAAATTATGCAATTTTTTCTAAATATTAGAAAAGGAGGAAAATAATTAAGTAATGATTACCTGAGGCACAGTGAGTTTTCCTTCAGTGCGATTGATAAGTTTAGTTAAATCAGATTCCATGAAATCAAAAACCAAATAAAGACTATATTGCATTCTTGAAGTGGCTAAGCCTTCAAGCTTGATAATATTTGGATGATCAACTTTCTTCAATATTATGATTTCTCTTGCCATAAACTTTACACTCTCTGGTTCTGATGTATCAAATCTAACCTTCTTTAAGGCTACTATTTTCCCACTCTTCCTATCTTTTGCTTTATACACATTGCTATATGTCCCTTGCCCTACCTGCAAAAATAAGATGCATTTATATTTGGATTTTTTATTCAATATATTTATAATACAAATCATGTTTAGGTTATCGTTTTGAATAGCTTAAATACGTACTAAGAAAGCATCTTCATGTCTCATGCACAAAGGCAAGATCTTGAAAAAATTTCATAAAAAATTATAAGATGTACAATCACGATTCATTTTGTTTATAGTTTTACAATATTGTCATTGATTTTAGCGAAAAAAATGGGGTTGGGGGAAGGTGGNGATATTTATGTTTAAAAAAATTAAAATTTCAATAGATATTAAATTTTGTACTCATAATGTCGAATAATAAGAGTTTCACTATTGAGAATCTTAAAGGTTGAACACGTAAGTTAGAATCCTGAATCAGCCTCGGAGGAGTTGAGAAACTTACCTTAGCAAGCTTATCATAAGAATCAGCAGTCTTTGGAACTAAACCAACCAAAACCTCTTTAGGAATGTTATCAACTAGCCATTTTGGCCATCCATCCACCAATTCATCTCCTTCCATTTTCCTTGTGCCTCTATTTGATAATTCATTTCCTATTCTAACTCCAACTCCATTTCTATTTCCATTTCCAATTCCATCCCTTCCTTTGATCATCTCCTTTTGATCTCTACTAATAATTCTCTTTTCTACTTCAACTCCATTATTTCTCCCATTCCCTTCTTGCTCCCTAATTCGACTCATATCCCTCTTATTCTGTTGTTGTTGTTGTCGTCGTTGTCCTTTAATATAACCATTATCAAGTTTCATGCTCTCAAACCTCTCGGGAGAGAAACCATAACCCCTACCTTGAACACACCCCATTGATGGATGGTCCCTTCACGTCGCGAATCTCCTAAAATTCTTTTTGTGTTGAATCTAAGTGGTGGTAATGACTAAGAGAACAATGCAAATAACTAGAAGAAGATGATGATATGACTAAAAAAATGAAGCATTTTAATAAAATAAAAGAAAGGAAATGGTAAAAATGTTAAGGAAGTTTAATTCTCTTTGTCCCTAGGCCGGCAAATATTTAATGGAATAATGTAATAATTGTAAAAAGAGTCATTTTCCGGAATTCTTTGCTTTCGTCGTCATGTAGAGTAATATGGAAAACAGTTCATGAATTAAGTCCATGGTTAATTAATGACCAGGTTCCTTCTGCTTTCTCGAGGAAATTTACTCTTGTTTTTGGAGATACAATTTTTTTTATTTTGTAATAAACTAAAAGGTTTTGGCTGGTAGAACCTAGTCAAATTATATTTTATGTAAATGTATCCAAAAAGAAGCATAATGGACAAAACTGGAGCAATCAAAGGGATACAGGTAGAAACTTAGTCAAATAATATAAAATCTGCTTTAGAAGTATGTTCCCAAATATAAAATCTGCTTTAGAAATATGTAGTCAAATAATATAAAATGGGCAAAATTGAAATAATCAAAGGGATTACGGATCCAATTCTTGGAGTAACTGAAGTAGTGTAAAAAGCTTGAGGCTATAATAACTAATAAACAAAAAATAAGAAAAAGGTAAAGAAATTAAGAAAGGAGAAATTACAATATTTTGACTATTTGTAAGTCAAATTATTGAAAAGATGCAACTGAACGAATCAACATTTTATATCTTGAATTTACTTGTTTTGCAAAGATGCAACTCCATCGTTTCAAAATAAGACTTAAAATAAATAATAATGAGACTTTTCTTTAGGCCTGCAGTTAGGATACGCCACGTGTTATCATCTTATGCATTATGGAAATCTAAAATTCCACCATTATCAGTTATAAATAAATAAAAAGCATATGATATTTCTTGCCGACTCATCCATGATTGGAATTATAGAAGAGTTCGTACCCGGCAATAGAGTATTGTTTTGCGCTCCACGTATGCATAAATGCTAATTCCTTTTCATATTAGCTTTCCAAATGGATGAATCGCAAGAAATATCATGTAACATTTAACCCTCGAATATGTTTGAAGATATCGAAATGATCTTCCATTTCGGAGGAAAATTTACAAAATTCCGTTTCCAACGAGAATTGAATTGACCTTTCCCTAAGTTCGATCGCATAATCTAACATATGAATATTCTTACTAAAAGAAGACATTTCATGCCATCAGAGAGTATTTGGTCCGGTCACTTAGATATTCTCTTTTTTTTCTTTGCTTGACCTAAAAAAGAATGGGAGCGAAGCAACTTTCCTGTTAATGCCCTTTGTGTCTGTATTAATTTATGATTAGTTTTACTTCAAGTATGAGTTTATTAAAATAAAAGCAGGTGAAAGAGTCTTTCATTTGTGAGAATTAACTTTGATTTGAATTTACAAGAAAAGAAAGACATTTGGACTATCAATGGTTTACTAAGTATATAGTCTTAGTTGTTTGCGAATATGTAGCCACAAGATAAATCTACTAAACATTTTTATCTGAGTTGAGATATTTATCTGATTACTAGTTAAGTTGGAGCGTCTAGCTAACAAATGTTAAGGGGTTATCTATGTATTTGGCCTTTCAATTTCCAAATATTTTCATACTTTAGATAATCAGTAAAATTAATTGACCAATAACTTAATTTCATTACGATAATAGTAAATTATCTGCTCAAAAGGTGATTTCTATATTTCAATTATAAAACTATGTTAGAGGACATTCCAATTGAATCAGATTAGACAATCTACATCAAACTAAAAAAGTGATTGACAACAAAAGAAGTACAATCCCTTCAACAAAGATTTCATAATACCAGATCGCAGCGACAGTAGTTTCTTCTTATTATGGCATTGCAAACTCGTAGATTAATGTCAAATGAAAATTAAGTTTTGTCTGTGTTATCCCTATCAATCCAAACACGGCCATGTTCAGCGACTGTTTTTTCTACACATTAACATATCTTAACTTCCATATGAAAGATACTACAAAGTCCTTGTCTTAGGTGTTGAAGTAAATGAAAAGCCCAACTTAAGGCTAATATTACATAAAAATACAACTGTCTTTGATAATCACAATATCGTTCTTTTAGCTATTTTTATGGACAATTCACAGCATCATTTTTACTTTTCAAGAGTTTCAACTGTTCAAGAATTTGATCCTCGAGCTGAGGAAAATTTTCCTAGTGTCTATGGTATCAGTTCAAGACTACATAAATATGTTATTTACTGAACTCGCTGAGGCTAACACTGTCTCCACTACTAACCGGTCGCAAGATAGGCATTCCAAGATCAAATGGTCCTATAGAGTCTTCCTGCAAACAAACATAGGAAAGGAAAATGTTAACTTCTCCTGTTCCTTGACAAGAAGAAAAATTTCAAATGGACACAAGATTAGTTAAAGAGCGGAAATGTACCCATTTGATGCCCTTTAGCCCAACGCTGTTGTCTTCATCAGAAATCCCCCTTGGACGGGAAATGAGGGGTGTCCTTGGTTGCTGAGATGGTTGATCTTGTGCAATCAC